AAAACGATGACATTTCACACCTAAAACGAGAAAACCAATCTCTTAAAGATGAAATCCATAATTTAACTTCTCGATTCAATAATTTTTTATCCAACGGCTTACACTACAACGATCCACCGCCGATAGAACAAGCATACGAGAACGACACGTAAATGAGATGACACAACCGAACAATAATATATTAATAATAATTCTAATTTTAAAATTAATTCTAGTTCCAATATTAATAGTAGTAGTAATGCGAAACCCATTTATCACTTAAATGATACTTCAAGGTTACCTAGTATAAAAGATTTTACTCATAAAATTTGGCTTATAGATACGGGAGCATCTAAAAACTATGTTCATCCTAGGATAATTGAAAAATATAATTTAAAAGTAATAGTACAACCGTTCTTGATTTCTACTCCAACAGGAATAGGCAATGGCCAATATAAAGTAGATTTAAATACGAAAAAATCTTTAGCTATTGATACTAAAATAGAACTTTTAGTATATCCGGTAAATGGCAAATATGATTTCTTACTTGGTTATGAAACGATGAAAGATTTCGGTATCTTAGATAATCATATAGTGATCGGTGATACTCTATTTAAATTCGATCATTCCAATTATAAGAAAACAAATGAATGTCATCTAATGGATAATAAATTAGAAGTTAAAAATGTTATTAGACATGAGCATCTCAATAACAACACTAGAAATAAATTAATACAAATAATAGCCGAAAACGGTGAAATAACAAAAAAAAAGATAATGAAAATCTTAATGCTACTAATTTAATAAAACATAAAATTATAGCAAGTAATGAAAATCTGATCTATACGAGAAATTATAGATACCTATAACAATTCAGAGAACAAATTAATAACAAAGTCTCAAAATTATTAAAGGATGGAATAATACGTCAAAATAATTCACCTAACAATTCACCATTATGGATAGTGCCAAAAAAGGCAGATGCCAGTAAAAATAAAAAAAGTATGCATGGTCATAGACTATCGCAAATTAAATCAAGAGACTATCAAAGATAAATTTCCTTTACCCAACATAGAGGATGTATTGAATAGACTTAAGGGAGCCAAATACTTTAGCACTATAGATTTAACATCAGGTTTTCATCAGATATTGAAGGAAGAAAATTAAATTATCAAAACAGCATTTAGTACTGACAATGGTCATTACGAATTTTTATGCATGCCATTTGGTTTATGCAATGCCCCACCAACATTCCAAAGAATGATTAATATGGCTATCACTATTTACCTAGAACTATGGCATATGTCGACGATATCATAATATATTCTAAAAATGAAGAAGAACACCTAAAAGATATAGAGACAGTTCTACAAAGATTAAAGAAACATAATTTAAGTATATAGCTCGATAAAACGCAATTTTTCAAGACTGAAATAAAATTCTTAGGTTATATTGTCAAACAAAATGGTTTAAAAACAGACCCAAGAAAGATAAAAGATATATTAGAAATGAAGTATCCTATTTATGAAAAATCTTTAAGAAGATTCTTAGGAATGATAGGATATAGAAAATTCATAAAGATTATGCAAAGAAAACGAGACCTTTATCTTCAGCTATAAACATAAAAAAATATGATACAAATGAATTTAAAGAAGCTTTTGATATTTTAATTAAAATGTCTAACACACCAATTTAAGTTTATCCAGATTGGAATAAACAATTAATATTAACCACAGACGCTAGTAATCAAGCTATAGGAGCAGTCCTTAGTCAACTTACTGATGGAACAGATCACCCTATTGCATACGGATCTAGAGTGTTATCCAAAACTGAAGAACATTATTTCAAAATAGAAAAAGAACTACTAAGTATTGTTTACTTCTCACAATTATTTAAACCATACCATTATGGATCAAATTCCTTTTACAAACAGATCATAAACCCTTAACGTGGCTTTTCTCAATGAAAAATGGAAACTAAAGAATTATGAAATGGATCTGGAAGTTGCAGGAGTTTGAGTTTGATATCAAGCATATACACTGACAGGCAAAAAATTCCACCCACTTGATTTTTCCATGTTTTCATCTAAAAATATTTCTGTAAAGTTGTATTTGTATATAATACATGGTATTTGTAGATAATACTTTCCACCAGTCGGGAAATGTCCCTTTGCTGGAGGATAGCCCATTCCTCCCGAAGAGCCCTTTCAAGGTCCTGAAGTGTATCAGGAAGTGTTGCACACGCTCTTATTCGTCTTCCGAGGTTATCCCATAAATGCTCAATGGGGTTCAAATCTGGAGAACGTGCTGGCTAGGCTAAAACCTCAATATTGTTCTGTTGAAGGAACGTCTGCACTATGTGGGCGACATGCATGAACCAAGTAAGAAATCATATTTGTCATTTACTAGATATACTAAAAGTTCTATTTTAGTATCAATACCTAAAGTTTTTTTTCGTATTTAAATCTACTTTATATTGGCCATTGCCTATTCCTGTTGGAGTAGAAAACAAGAATGGTTGTTCTATTACTTTTAAATTATATTGTTCAATTATCCTAGGATGAACATAGTTTTTAGATGCTCCCGTATCTATAAGCCAAATTTTATGAGTAAAATCTTTTATACTAGGTAACCTTGAATTATCATTTAAGTGATAAATGGGTTTCGTATTACTATTACTATTAATATTGGAACTAGAATTAATTTTAAAATTAGAATTATTATTAATATATTATTGTTCAGTTGTGTCATCTCATTTACGTGTCGTTCAGGTGTGTTAACTACTATTCATCCAATGTAATTTCTTAAAAATACACGATTTAACACAATCCCCAGGTATTCTTCATTATACTGCAAATGATATTAAAGTTACTGATACTTACTATGAAACGTATCATTATTACAAGACCGACTTAATTTCCAATGAAGTTAATAATCTTCATACATTATTAAAACAATTTAATGAGATCAATATTTATAATATTTTATTAAATAACATACAGACTGTAGAAAATCAATTACGAATTTTAAAATATACTCCAAAAAACAAAAATAACCTTAGAACAAAAAGAGGACTAATCAATGGACTCGGTTCAGCTACATCATGGTTAACAGGTAATATGGATGATAACGATAAAGCATACAATGATGACATAATTTAAAAGACACGGAGTAATACAGTTCAAAATAAAATTTACGAGAAAAACATAATTGATACAAATAAAAAATTGATTGATAAATATGAAAAAGATGTAAAAACTATCAATAATAATTATAACAAGATTCAAAATTCTATTAATGTAATAAATAGGGAAGACAAAGCTTATTACTTCTATATGCATACGCAATTATTAGAACAAAAATTAAATGCACTATTACTGTCAATGGAATTTTGTAAGTCAGGAGTAATTCATTCTAATTTAATGATTGATGCTATAAACAACATACCCTCTAATATTACTTTAATTTCTAGAAATATTGAAATTATATGGGAAAATACTAAAATCTATTGTTCCTATTATAATTCTACATTTCATGTATTTATACGTTTGACTACTCATGAGCAATCTTATAATGGATTTTTAGTAATTCCAGTACAAATGTATATTAATAATACCTTTAAACAACTAGAATTAGATCAACAACTAGTTATTAAGAAAAATAATTATTATTTTCATGCAGATCGCATATTTGATAATGAATATAAGAGAAATATCAGATAAATGTATCCTAAATATTATTAATAACTCTAGTTTTACTTATTGCACTTATGCAAATTGTACTACTAATATTATATTTAATGATTATATAAAAATGTATGTTACTTATAATATTTCTAAACTTAATAATTGTCACAATGATTCTATATATTTACAACAAGTAGCTCTCATTAGTGAATTATGATGATTGTATTTCTAATTTTAATAAAACCTATATTCATAACTTATATTTTAAATTTAGACCTTTGTATAAATCTTTTAAACTAAAATTGACGCAAAATGTTAACATTTCTTCAACTCTCTTTATTAAAACTTTTTATGTTCCTTTTATTTCTAATGAATGGTTTTATAGTTTAATCATTGTAATCTTTATAATATTTTGTGTATCTGGATATTGTTATTGGTATAAGAAGAAAAATGTAATAAACCCCTCATCTCCTGAAATGATTGTATCTTACTCTAATGTACCAAAACTATCACCAGTTGTAAATAATTATGAGGTACAATATCGACTATGGTCGAAATATTGTAAACCTAGAAATCCAGGAGTATTGCACCATTTTCCCCCAGGAGGACTTAAAGGTCCGTGCTAGTGCAATGTCAGCACTGACTCATTTCCTTTCATTATTCTTATAAATACGATATCCTCTTAGCGTGAGACACTATTCAGAATTCAGAATCATTATAAGTTAGGAAGTAGACTAGTTATTATTTTAGATAGAAATTAGATCAGTTATATTATATTTACTGTCATTTTTCAATAAAGTTTCTTTTAAAAAAGTCATTTAGCGTTGAAGATTATTTAATTATATATATATATATTTGTGTGTGAAATTAAATATATATATATATATATATATATATATATATATACCTTCCTTCCTTGGTGATAAATTTTGGAAGGTATTTGACAATAAACTGTAAAGGATCTATCCCCTCTGAGGACAGCCTCTGCTTAGCAAGATCCCAACCTCAACTGAAAAGAACCCGTTAAAAGTATGTGTACCTCTCAAGCGAACAAAGCAAGCCTGCCCATAAACAGAGATGTCAACCTTCAGCTACTTTCGTAATTACATATGAAACAAGCCAGTACTGGACCCTGCTGTCATCTGCTGGCAATTGTCAACTAATATCAAAATATTTTTGAACAAAGATAAAGCATATCAATTTCAACTTGCAGTCTCTAGTATGTAAACCTATTGCATAATTTTGTTTGGCATAACAGATAGATCCACAAAATGACCAATAACTAATTTTTAAAAAATAATAAAATATAATTAAAGTAAAGCATAAAAAAAAATACCTTTCTCTAAATCCAACAAAGATGATAAGTTATCTAAAAGTTCCTTCCTTTTACTGACATATTTTCCGACCTGCGGATTTTTTATGCTATAAGAGTAATTTCTAAGAAATAATTCATCACTTTGAAGTTTATTAAAAAATGCTTTGATTTCCTCATTTTTAATTATATTGAAATATTCAGTACTACTGTAAAAACAATTGAGTTTTAAATTATGACCGTTCCAGATACCCTTGACACTTTTTACTGAGTTCCACAAAACATTTCTAAACCGAGAAGAAAACATAAGAATGATTTAAATTTCAAAAAATAAAAACTGTTTTGAAAACAACAATCACGATTGATGCGGTCACTTTGAAATACATCAGTAGGTCCAAAAATACAAAGAGATGCTTAGTTATCTATTACGATGCACAAGCTAAATTATCATCATAAATTGTAAAATCAGTCCAGTCAATGAATGATTGTAGAAGGAAATGGAAGGGGCACAGTTTTTGACTTTGGGCCACTGTTTGGACTATTAAGGAGATAAACATATTAAAAGTCCCCTCTCCTAGATAGTGAGAAAGACGTGGGGGAAGAAGCGCCTGAAAGGTCACTTTTTTCGGGTTTTCACTTATATCAGAAAAACTATCCATTGCGTTCTTTATAAAATAAAAGCTGATAAAATTTGCCTCATTAGTTTCCGAGATATTCGTCCTCAACTATCGCTAACTCTTGATCGCTTCATTCTATGATAAAGTAAATGGGGGATAAATGTGTAATTCAATTTTCTTCAAGAAAAAATATTTTTTTACTAGTTTACCTTCAACGGTTCAAAAGTTAGATCAATTATAACTTTACATGTAAATTCCGAAAATTTGCAGAAAATTATTTTTTTTTTATTTTTATTTATTTTTATTATTTTAATGGAATTTACAACCGTATTACATAGAGAATAATAATAATAATAATAATAATAATAAGGCTTAGCGAACCCGAAGGTTCGATGCCGACACCACCAATCGCTTGTTACACACCTCCCTCCACCGTTCGCCGCCCAAACCCAGTCCCTTCAGATCAGCTTTAATGCAATCTTCCCATCTTCGCTATGGTCTACCCCTCCGACGCTTACCATTCGGCACAGCAAATATTAACCTTTTAGGAATTCTCTCGTTACTAAGACCAACAACTTTACAAGCCCATTTGATTCGCCGCGATGAAATTACCTCAATTATATTACCCGGATATAGCTCACGCAATTCGGCGTTGTGTAACCGTCTGAACTCTCCGGTTAACTCATCCTTCTTCGGTCCGAATATTCTACGCAATACTTTATTTTCAAAAACCTTAAGACGCTGCTCATCCCTTAATGTAAGCGGCCAAGTTTCGCATCCATAAAGAACTGTAGGCAAGATAATTGTTTTATAGATCCTAATTTTTAAGTTTCGGGACAAGAGGCGCGAACTGAGTAGTTTTGTCACAGAAAAATAACAAGCATTTCCCGCCTTCAGTCTAACCTTAATCTCTTCTTCAATTTCGTTTTTTCTAGTTATCGTAGAACCTAGATACCTAAATTTATCTACCTGTTCAAACATATTACCATCTATATCGATATCACCAGTAGTATCGCCATTTTTGCAGCTGACCATATATTTTGTTTTATCCACGTTTATTTCGAGTCCTAGTTCTTTACCGGCTTTCATTAACGTTGTCGTATTTAGTTTTATAGTTTCAACGTCTTCGCTTAACAGTACCAGATCATCAGCATAGCCCAGCACGGATGTTGTCCCGCCCAGATCCAACCCTTTCTCGGTACGCATTACCTCCCTAATGGCGAGTTCTAATGCCAAATTGAACAGGACAGGCGAAAGAGAATCCCCCTGTTTTAAGCCCGAACGAACCTCAAATTTTTCGGACAAATTATTACCGATTCTAACTTTATTGAGTGTCTCCGTCAAGCACATCCTGACTAGATTTACTAGTTTTTTTGGAATTCCCTGCTCGATTAGAATATTATACAGTTTCTGGCGGTCAATAGAATCGTAAGCCTTTTTAAAATCTATATACAGCTGGTGAACAATACCGTTATACTCCAATTGTTTCTCTAATATTTGCCGTAAAGAAAATATTTGATCAATAGTCGACCGATTCCGTCTAAATCCGCATTGGTAGTCTCCGATAATTTCCTCGGCGTATTCCGTGATTCGACTGGTTAAGATTAAAGTGAATATTTTATAACATACCGGAAGGAGTGAAATTCCTCGATAGTTATTACAATCCGTCCTCGGACCCTTTTTGTGAATCGGAATAAGAATAGATTCTTTCCATTCTTCAGGTAATTTCTCGTTCACCCAGATCTTTTTAACCAACCGATGTATTTTAGAAACTCCAGCTTCTCCGCATGCCTTAATTAGTTCAGTAGGAATATTATCGATTCCCGCTGCTTTATATGATTTTAATTTTCCGATAGCTACTTCAACTTCCTCTTTACTTGGTCCTTCTATTGATGGTTCAGCACTCTGGTACTCAGAAGGAGGACACCGATCATAATTTTCCCTATTTAAAATACTGTCAAAGTGGTTCTTAAACTTATTTAATATGTCTACCGAATCAGTCAGGGTATTGTTATTATCATCCCTAATTCCAGACGTTACGGGCCCTACATATTTACGTGATCTGTTTATACCTTTGTACATGTCTCTTACGTTATTTTCGGCTCTATTAGTTTCTATTTCAATTATTTTATTTTTAAGATACTCCCTTTTTTTATTTTTGAGCAATTTTGTCGTTTCGTTCTTTGAGATTCGGAAGTATTCCAGATTGTCTTCGCTAGGATTATTTAGAGTTTTTAATTTAGCGGCTTTCCTGTTTTCGCACATGTTTAAGCAATCTTCATCAAACCACGGTTTGTTATTCTTATTTTCCTTTTTTCCTAGACACGAGTTACCGACCGCTTTAATATTATCCCTGATCTGTACCCATAACTTGTCAATATCCTCGTGGTCCTCGTCAGGAAGCTCTAAAGCTTCAAACCTATTCTTAACATCTAGCTCGAATTGGTTTCTAATTGATGGATTTTTTAATTTTTCCAAATTAAAATTCTCAAAATCGAAACGGTTTTCTTTTCTCTTTTTTATATTAAGTTTTTGTCGAAGTTTCGCGATTACTAATTCATGATCCGACCCACATTCTGCTCCGCGATAAGACCGTACATTGATTATACTGCTTTGCCAGCTGTGTTGTATCAAGACATGATCGATTTGATTTCGTGTTTGCGAATCCGGCGATGTCCAAGTATATTTATGAATATCCTTACGTTTAAACGTCGTACTTTTAATTACCAGGTTTTTCGAGATGGCAAAGTTTATCAGACGGATCCCATTATCATTACTATATTCGTGCAAACTTTCTTTACCAATCGTCTGAATATAAACTTCTTCCCTTCCTACCTTTGCGTTCGCGTCACCTACAATTATTTTCATGTAGTTTCGCGGTAGTTTATCATAAACCCATTCGAGTTTATCGTAAAATTCACTTTTGACTTCATCGTCACTGTCTTCGGTCGGACAATGTATGTTTATTAATGCGATTTTAAACTAACGTCCCTGAAATGTAGCTACCGAAATTCTATCACTAAAGAATTGTACGTCCCTCAAAGCGGATAGTAATCTACTCCTAATTAGAAACCCGGTACCTAAACAATGATTCCCGCTTCCTCCGTACCAAATAGTGTACTTCCCTTCCCTCATCGAGCCCTCCCCTGGCCAGCGAACCTCTTGCAGAGCCACGACATCCAAATTGTACCCATTTACCTCATTCGCGACCGATTTTAGCCCCCCTGCTGTGTTTAACCGCCTTACGTTCCACGTACCAATATTTAAATCCCTATATTTCAACTTGCGGCATGAATCCCCTAAAGCAGTCCCCACCCGGAGACCCGAACGGGGGACTAGTTTACCTCCGGATAATGAGCGTTTTACCTTAGGGAGATCCATGACTTTTTGTGGTGTTTGGTGAACTAAAGATATGTGAGTAGGGCGTTCAATCCTACGTCACACCCTCCAGCAAGTCTGGTGGGCCCCTACCTCCAGCAAGTCTGGAGGTCCCCTCCCTCCAGCAAGTCTGGAGGGCCCCTCTCATTGTTGGTCAGCGAGTCCATCGGACTTAGCCGGGAGGAACTTCCAAGGAATTTCCACCGACCATCCCCACATCCGCCACCCGTGGGACGCTCCATTACATAGAGAATACAATAAGTAAATGAGAAATTGGTAACATGGCATGTACAACATGAAGAGAAACTACCCATTGGTAGAACTCAAATTAAAGTTCTATATTAGAAGATCCCGAGGCCATCTTCTTTTCAGACGCCTCGGAGGGTTTTCAGGGCTCGAGGAGGAAGCAAGGTTTAAAACGAGAGGATTCGGATGGTTCTGCAGTTTGTTATGGAAGGAAAGGTATCTGGATTGGGCCAGATCGGAAACATATGGAACATTAAGGTCTTTATGGATGATTTTATTTGTGACAAAGTAAGCGTTGAGGATTTTACGAAGGATTTTGGATTGTAAAGATTGGATACGAGAGGAATTCGATGGTTTAGTGGAACCCCAAAGCTCAATTCCGTAAGTCCAAATAGGTCTTATTATTGTCATATATACGAGTCGTTTATAATTGATTGAAAGCTTAGATCGTTTGTCTAGTAAGTGCTGCAGTAGTCGAAAACGTCGGGCGGTTTCTAGCCTTTTCAGTCTGGTATGGGGGTTCCAAGTGAGTCGTTTGTCAAGGTGGAGTCCTAAGTAGCGGATTTGCTCAACAGGAATAAGTGGAGTATTATTGAAGGATACTGTAGGACAAGAGGTCATAGGTTTACGACGGAGGGTAAAGGTGATTTGATGGGATTTGTTGGAATTTATTTTTATTCTCCATTTTTTACACCATTCTTCAAGGCTTGTGATATGTGATTGAAGAGTTTGGGATGCAATTAAAGGATCGTTATTAACTGATAGGATACACGTGTCATCGGCATAGGTGGAGATGACAGTGTTGGATTGGGTTGGGATGTCAGCTGTATAAACTGTGTAAAGGATAGGACCTAGGATACTACCTTGAGGAACACCGGCAGACTGAGTAAAAAGAGATGAATAAGCATTGTTATGATTGACTTTGAAATATCTGTCAGTCAGGTAGGAGCAGAAAATTATAATTTTTATCTTATTCGTTATTATATTTTTCTAAATCTCTGTATATGTAAGTCTCTAAGTATATATATATATATATATATATATATATATATATATATATATATACTTGTTCGGATTATGGGGTCAATGTATAGCTAACCGTTATATTTGATCCCT